GTCTCTCCACTTTCTTGTTGCAGTAGCGAAAGCAGAAAGCCGGGGGGGGCATTAGGGTGATCATTCATCACAATCGGGTGATTGTACACTAATATTATGGATTTTGAGACGAGAAACACGAATCCAATAGTTAAAAAAACCAAAAAAAATTTCAACCCCTCAATTTGAAAAATGCATTATATATATTGCATTTTTTATTATTTGCATGCAGCTGTGCATCCTTCACACAATTTTTATCCCTCGAACAACAAGTCAGTTTTAGTGCTATTAAAGACCTTTAATTTAAGCCAAGGAAGAAGTCTCTAGGCCCTTTGAGAGCTAAATTATTACGATTCTAAAGTTAAACTTCGAAATTTCATTCGACATTTTACGCAATTTTTTTTTCTAATTTCGGAGTAAAAACTAGTACAGCAGTTTCGAAGTTTGGTTTAAAATTGTTATAACTTGGCTCTCAGAGGGCCTAGAGGCTAATACCGTTGCTCAAATTAAAGGTCTTGAATTGCACTTACTGTTCATATAAAATTGAGTGAAGGACGCACAGCTGCATGCAAATAGAAAACAATGCCATAAATAATGCATTTTTTAAATTAAGTTGTTCAAATTTTTCTTTGAATCCAGTGGAATCGTGTTGCTCGTCTCAAAATCTATAATACTTGTATAATAAAATATACATAAATTTTTTGTTTTGGAATAAATCCCGTGTATTTTGCATGTTTTTTTTCGAAGAACACTACTTTTGACCAATTTTTTTAAGGTCCAGGTGTAATTGAAAGGGATTTAATTTAGCTCTCAAAACCGTTTTGTTTCGTATCAAAATGCTACTTCTGTCGAAAGCGCTACGATTAATTCGCGTGCAGTGTTCAAAAAGCAGACTGTGCGGCTTGTGAAAGGACAAGAGATGTATTTTAATATGCTGTGCATATTTTTCAGATATGAGTTCAGCGACAAAATCTATAAGAAATGGCCAATTTCATATCAGAAAAAAATTTCAATTAGCACGAAATTGTTCCAGAAGTAGAATCACAACACCAAGAGTGTAATTGAAATTCTTAACCAAACTCGGATTTCTCGACCGACTCGGATTTCGGAAGGGGAAATTTCCCCATTTCCCCCCCGTAGATCCGGCCCTAATTTGAATGCTTAAATGAAAATGAAATGACATTGCCGAACTCGTATGTACTTACTCGTGCTTACACGACGTATGAATACCTAACGTTTTCCATATAAAGTTTAAATTTTTTTCACTCGCAATGCAAAAAAATGATCTAGAAAAACGACCCACAATTAAGTTTACGCGTTCCGCAGCGTAATTTCTCTAATCTGCTTTACTTTATTTACATACATATGTAATTTCTTGCTCAAAATTATTAAAATCGATTAATGTGTTTTCCTCTTAAAATTGTTAAATTACACCAATAATTTTCCTCCCTCCACTTGCTTTTTAAATATTATAACGAGTAACTATTCGAAATTTCAAGTAGTTGGCAGCTTCAAATTGAATTTAAGGCTCCAATATTTGCATATAAATTGACAGCAAACGACGATGACGACGACGAGGACGACGACGACTGTGGCAGACAGCCAAGTGAAATTAAAAAGTAATTTGTAGCATAACAGAGTGTTGCACCAAAAGCGAAAATAAAAAAAATAAAATCAAGAGAAATGCGATTCCGGAAATGCAACAGTTGTAGCGCATTGACAATTGAAAAACTGCCAAAGTGTATGCGGAAAGTCGACAAATGAGATTTTGAGTTGTTGCCAAAAAAACTGTTGCAAGCACAGATGTGGAGCCATGCGATAGCGAGTAAATGCAAAAAGTAATTATAGAAGAGAAAATATGCGAATGAATGGTTGAAGGGCTAAAGAATTCTAGTTTTTTATTAATATGACACTGAGTAAAGGTTTAAAATTAATAAAATTTTTTTTTTAAGAATAAGTAATATTAAATGATATATACCCATAAAGACTAAGTAGAAGTAAGAAAAACTTGTAGACATTGGAAGCTAACGCTAGTAACATTAAGGAAAATTAATAACGAATTTTCCTGGAAAATTTACGTGATCGCATTTTTTCATAATTTTTTTTCGTAGCTTAGCAATATCAGGGTGATTGACTAGGTTTTTCCACCGTTTTTTTTATATCTATAGGCGGGTTTTGAATCGAATATGAATCGAATATAAAACAAACCGGTTTAATTTATTTCACACAAATCTTGACCTCTCAGTAAAAGTTTTGAGTTTTTTGAAATTTTTAAGACTTTTTGTAGTCCAAGGGAAACCCATAAACAGTTTTAAAATTATATTCTAGGTTATTTGGGGATGAACACTATGCCATATTTGATTCCAATAAATTAATGTTTGGCGCTTAAACGTTTTACACGTGTTTGACCGAGCTTCTCCTCCAATTCGTATTCCGCTTCTTGATGTTGTGACACAAATGGAGAGATGTACACTTTTGCCCCACCTCCTATGAAGCTTTTTTATAGCAGAAGTACATACACTCGGAGGTTTGCCATTGTCTGCTGCGGCGCGACTGCTATTTGAATAAAACTTGGCGGGACCAGAAATTGAACCAAGAGCATAGGGATGTTAATTTATCGATTTTTACGATCCCGGGATTTTCGAGATGTGGTTGTCACAATCCCGGAATCCCGAGATTAGCTCCGGGATTTAGATATTCATTACTTTTCAACAACTTAAATCTACCATAACATAACCTACCATAAAATAAATAATAAATAAATGGGTTTGAAACCTTTTTTTTATTTAAAGTGGCGTTTTTATTTTTTATTTATTTTAAAGGACTTTTTAATTTCAAAGATATAATTAATTCCAAAAATTATTTAAAAAATTCAATGCAATCTGGAATAAAAATATGAGTACCAAATGAAAGAGGAATTTTTTTAGAATTCAAAAAATTAAAATTTTTTGGATTCACAAGCACGAATAGGTAATTTTTTAATCTGATCAAGTTAGAAGGACGAAATTCGAGGATGTTATCGAGTCCTTAATATATAATTTTTTCAAAAGCAAATATTGCGAAATGTCAAGGATACAATTTTAAAAGGACATTTTCAATACTTACTGTTCCTTACGTACCACAAAATTGAATCTGATTCAATTCTACAGAAATTCGTCTATAATTAATTCTTCTCTAAGCACATTTTTCAGAGTGAAAAACTAAAAAAGCGATTTTACTATATTTGGTCCATGGTTTCGCGAATATATTGATTTTTGTGTTTAAAATTTACTATAGCACTGTGTTATATGTATAACTAGCGGACCCGGCGCACTTCGTCTCGCCCGAATTGAACACCTTCAGATAAACTCCAGGGTGATAATAAAACACAGATATTTAAAATTTCAATGTGATTTATTTGAGTGCAATCGAAATCAGCAGAGAGCGATATGGTAGACAATATTTTTCGATTTGTTTTCCGGCGCAAAAACAAACAACGAAGACGGTTTGCCAACACGCGAACAGGCAACGTACAGCTGACCGTGCGAAAAACAGGGAAATTCGAGATTAATCCCACAGACTTCCAACGATTGGCCTTGAGATTTATTGATTGTCATCGCGAAAGCCAATCGAACGGGGAACTGAATCCGCTTGAATTGGAATGGAAGATCAGTTGGAATAATCGGAATTCGTGGGATAAGGACTTCCTCTCCTTTAAATTTTCCCTTTATGATCGTCGCTTGAATCAAATTTTTCATCAGTTTATTGACGGACAACCGCGTGCCGTTGCACAATTTCGGGTGATTCAGATTCCGCAACATGATTATGATCGATCCGACCTTCAGCTGTAAATTATGCGGCGGAGTTCCTGGTACATCAAGCGAGTTCAAAAATTCCGTCGGATAGTTGGTCGCTTCATCCTCGTCGGTCACGCTGTCAACGGATTTGTACGAATGCAGTTCTCCAGCTATTTGACTTTGAATAATGAAATTCAAGCTATCGACATCTTTTTTCTTCGCTGCTAGTATTGCCCGTTCACTAATCCAATCGAGATTTTTATAATTTTGTGCAATTCCGGGGAACACTTTGGTGATGAGTTCCTCCTTCGACGATGTGAACTCGCAAAAATTTGCCGGGAACGATACCAATCCAGTCGAAACATCAACAGGAATTTGGCCATTGCCAAGCGCCAGCAGTTGTCTCGAGAATTCAGCAGCTGACGGGTCGTTCTGCAATGCGACTCTCATGTTCGTGGTCAATTTAAACTTCTTGACATGCCGCCATAAAGACGACGATTTCAAGCATGCATTAAGTTCATCGGCAGCAGTAGATTTCGGGATAACGGGAAGCGTTTGACGAAAATCTCCGGAGAGCAATATCATAGCCCCACCAAATCGTCTCGAATCACCTCTTAAATCCTTCATTGTTCGGTCAACTGCCTCTAAAGCCCGTTTATGCGCCATCGTGCATTCATCCCAAATGATGATTTTGCATTCTCGCATCAATTTCGCTGTCGCCGAATTCTTGGTCAATGTGCACGTTGGCTGGTCAACCGTGAGAACATTCATCGGCAGCTTAAAAGCAGAATGTGCAGTTCGACCGCCTTCCAACAATGTGGCAGCAATCCCAGAGGATGCAACAGCCAACGCAATTTGAGATCTTGACCGAATTTTTGCCAGAATCAACGAAATGAGAAATGTCTTGCCTGTTCCACCGGGAGCATCGAGAAAGTAAATGCCTCCCGTTCCATCGTCAACAACTTTCATCAGCGAATCGTACACGTTCTTCTGCTCGGCATTCAACAGCGTCACATTTGTTCGCACTCTTTCGGCCAGCTCATCTTGATCATAATCTTGCTCCCGTTGCAATTCGCGATTGAATGCATCGTGCAGCGAACGATTTGGCGCTGGCATTCCCAATGTCGACAGCAGACTGCCGCACATGAGCACGCAGATGTCTTCGATCAGAACTAATGCTTCGTTGCGCATCTCGTCGTTAATTTCGAGATCGAAATTCGAAGTTGTCGTGCGAACTCTGTGCAAAATGTCGTCAGCCATCTCGTCCTTGTATTTGTCCCACAATGCAGTCGGGTTCGACGGATGACATGTAGCTATGATGATCGCAAACAATGTACGAATTTGATTCGCTGGCGCAGAAACAGTTGCATCGGCGAGTGTTGAGTCCCAATGTGTATCGTTTTCGAGCAAATTCAAACGTTGGCAAGCCTCCCGAAAAGTGGCACACAGCACACCATCCACAGTATGCAGGGAATCGAACGATGTAGGGCCTCTAATGTTTACCAAAAGCAAGCGAAGATAGAAGCATTCGTCTTGGCGTGGATGAACTGTGTATATTCGTCCGAGGGCATCAGTAGAATATACATCAGCGAAGCCAGCAACAGAATCACCTTTCTTCCGGCGTTGAAACTTCTTCGATGCTGCGTTCCATGTATAATAGCGTGGCAGTTCCGAATAGAGTAAAGTCCTTGCGAACGGATCGCTTTCGCATGTCGAAAAGAAATTTGTCAATGTTGTCGCTGGTGGTCGTTCTGCTCTTTGCGCTGCATTTGCGTCCGTAAAGTATACACGCTGGCCGTTCTCCAAATGAACTGCCAAATGTACAACAGTCGGGTGACGTTCATGAATCGGAAATGAAAACAGCCGCCAAATTGCCTCGTTACAACTCACGTAACGTCCAAGTTGAAATTTCGTCACCTCGTCGTTTGCATTCGGATCGGCAATGCCAAACATCGCCATGTCGCTCCCTTTGTTCACATATTTGCAAACGTATTTGATAGATTTGATGGAGTTGCAGTACTCAACATTGCAGTGGGTTGAGAACGTTTTTGACAAAAGTGGACAATATGGAACGATCCAGCGGTTATCGACGACGACATCGTTTCCTTTCACTTTCATCACGATTGATCTGCCGTTGTCATCTGGAGAACGACGCCGATACAATGGATATCCGTCGATTCCACTGATTGTGTCAGCCACCAACGGACGGGGAAAACGCTTTGTGCAATTTCCGTTTTCCATGCACGGTGAGTCTGGGTTGTGGACTCCGCAAGGGCCATGTATCATGTTCGTTGTCACAATGGAATGCAGCTCCGGATCAGTTTCTGGATCTGGTATTTCGGCAGAAATGATCGAATCAATGTGATCTGGTCGGATCTTGTCGAAAATCCAAAGCAGAATATGTGCATGTGGTAAACCACGCTTCTGCCATTCAACCGAGTACATCCAACAACGGAGTACGCCAAAAACCTTCTGCTTAACGATGTAATCCATGAGTACTCTGATCTTTTGTTTGAATACTCGTGCAATGATATCATGTCGATCGCTGGATGTTTGTCCTGTCAGCAACAGATTCGTAATTTCGGGCCATTTCGGATTGGAAGTGAACGTGATGAATAAATCGGGGCGTCCGTAATTCCGTACGTACGTCATCGCATCTTGAGCGTACTCATGCATGTGGCGCGGGCTTCCAACGTAAGTAGCTGGGAGAATGGTCAAACAACCGATGTTGGTCGCATCTCCTTCAGTAGCGATGGCGTCCCGCAAGTGGATGTACTCGTCTGATCGTAACTTCAACTGATTGAAACGAATGAAATTAAGACGCTCCGTTTCGACCTTGACGTACATGTCGACGCAGTACTGTTGAAACAACCGGCGATATCTCAACAAATGATTGTCAACATCTTGCCGAATCATCAATCGATATGCATAAAAATTCATTGAGCTGACCTTCTTATTCGTTTCTTCTCCTAAAATATGAACTTTGACTTAGTCGTAGAATGAAAAAGTAGTGATAACTTGTAAACAAACCTGTCGTTGGATTGACCATCTTTATATTGAAGTGATAGCCATCCTCTCCACGACAGAACATCAACGGGTATTGAAGTGCATCATATGACCGATGAGTCTCGTACACGCGCTGCAATTGTCCACCATTCCGACGCTTGAGAACAATATCGCGTGATTCCACATTCTCGCCAACAATCACCACTGCGACTTCATTGATAGTGGGAGCATTGAATTGTCTTGCATGGCCTCCAGCAGGTCTTTTGTCTGCTCTGATAATGATTTTGTGGTCGTCAGAATGCATTGTATCCAATGCGGTTTTGAACAGTCTGACCAGTTCATTATGCTCGTGCAGAAGATTTTGCAATTGTTCGATCATTTCACGTTTAGTCGCAGTAAAAATTACACAACGCTGATTTAGTTCAATTGCCGAATCACCAACGAAATAGATCTGAAGGAATTTATGATCTTCGTTTGGTGGTGGTAACAAAGCACCCGCTCGATGGTGAATTTGCCCTTGAATCTGTATGTTTGGAAGCAATTTCGAAAAAAAATTGGAAGAATTGCTCATTTTGATAATAATAATACGCCATTACCTTATAACTCGGATTGTAGCCGGGTTGATCAACAACTTCGGCTCCAAATGACGTCATTTGAAAGCATCCGTTATATTTTTGTGTATTCGCCAGGAAATGTTTTGATTGGATTGTATTTCCATAGAGAAACGAATACAATGGCTCTGGCGGATGAGTCAGAACGGGCAATTTCACCTTGCCACCAGCGCAGCATAAGCCGGGGGTTTCCGATTGAAACTTCAATGCATTACAATGCTGGCATACGACAGACAATGAACCGATATCAACGCAGCGAAGATCTTTGTAGGCGATTGCGGAATCGTATTCGAAAGCAGCGCGATTCAAGTGTACATTTACGACTGGTCTTCTTCTAGTAATATTCTGTCGAATTTGAGGTGGTGATTGTGCAGAGCGAACCTGTGCAATATGGGCACGTCTCCATTCATTTACTTCTACACTTTCCTCGTGCGTTTGATTATCACGGACATTCTGACTAATTATTGCACGACGTGTACGTCGCCCAAGGTTTGATCGTCTAATAGGAGGCATTAGTCAAGCAAATAACTCTCCCTAAAAAACCACAAAGTCGTTTTTTGACTAATCCTACTAAAAGGAAAATTAAAAAAAACTTACGGAATGAATGTTTCGCAATGAATGCCCGCAGCCCAATTGGATAATTTCACTTTTTACACACACACTTATTTTCCGAAAAAATTATCGAATTGATAAATATCGCACGATATACGAAAATCCCGAATCAGTATAATAATATGCAAAACTCGAATCAATTACAGCAAGAAAAATATCACATTTACTCCATAGAAAATGACAATGGGAAAAGGGCAGCTGTCAAATTGCGCACAGCCTACGTCAACGTATAACGCCAACCATGATACAATAATTTTAGAAGGTAGTTTCAATTCAAAATTTTTAACATAAACCGTGTCTGTGACAAACACGCAATGTGGCCAGTGCTATGATATAGAACTTGAGGATTTTCGCTGTGAAACTACCCGAAAAAAAAGAATCTTATATGCTAATCTAGGCAAAAAGCTAACTACGTACCAGATTTTAAGCAAATCGGACCATAACTACGATTTTTTCGAATAGATCGG